TCCCACGAGCTCCGTGATTCAGTCACACACACACGCGCGCACCGAGCAGAGGCACGAGGAGCCGAGTCTGTCCCCGCGGCTTCCGTAGATCATCACCCGGCGTGTGTGTTTGTTATAAATGACACCGGAGTGTTTCCATGTTGGAGGACAGAGAGTGTGTGTGTGTGTGTGTGTGTGGACTACAAACCTGCACCTGAGTTTTGGGAAACATCACCTGAGGCGCACGAGCATCGTCGTTTGCATGAACGCGTGCAGGTAAGTTTCAAATAACCTGAAACTCTCGTGAAGTGTAAAAAAAAATTGCTTTCACTCTTTATCTTGTGTGAAATGTTAATGGAGTCTGGCGATGTTTAGTTCTTGCCCTCCAGAACGTGGACTTTTATCGGGCTCACGCTGAACCTCGATCAGAAATCTGTCAATTTTAACTTTTCTCGCCAATTTCCTCTAATGAGACATCGCACATTATGTGTTTGTGTTGTTTGTAGTGGTCCCTAAGCTCGGGTGGATAATTCGGTTTATAAGAGGAAGGAGCACATCACTTTGAAATAAGTGAAGTGTTCAAGTATTGTTTGCCCCTGTCTACTATTGATTGCTTTCATTTTGGTTGAAGAATGTCAGACAATCAGGTTCAGCTCTGTTGAATAAGTTTGTTATTCTTTGCTATATATTGAGAATAAAGTGGTTGGAAAGGAAAATAAATATAAGCAGAAAAAAGGGCTGGGAAATAAGACATTATCAATAATAATCACAATGTATTTTTCATCAATAACGATATGAGAAAAGTTGAAATTAATATATTGATATAGTGCTTATGTTTAACACGCTGATCTACCTGTGGAAATGTTTCGCTGTCAAGTTTTTTTTTAAATAAAGAAGAGTTTAAAACCACAAACTTCACTCAGGAACAAAAATCAGTGTTTAAAACCTAAAATAAATAATAAGAAGAAGAAATTGATCGGGATAATCATCGAAATCCACTGATATAAACTTTTTTTTATCTCGATAACATTTTTGGCCTCATCCTCAGGCTCTAAGCCGAGAATGTCCAAAGAGACTTTTGCATCTGACAGCTCTTAACACTAATCTGAAAACATTTAGATTTAGCCTGAATCACGTGTCAGGTAGAAACAGTATTGTACAGCAGTATTTGTTCAATGCAAATTATCAGCCTGTGTGCACATGTGCAGGTTGTGTTGTCAGAGTTATTTTTTTTTTCATTTTTCTGACTCACACGTGTGCATGTGTGCCCGTTCCCAGATTTCACCAGGCTCTAGATCAACCTGCTTCTCCTTTCTTGGTGTGACACACACTCTGAAGCATGCCATTGTTTTGCTGGGAAACATATTTTAGTTTTTGGGGGGGGTGCAAAGCTGCTTCCTGCACAGGAGGGTCTACTAACAATGGCCACCGACTTGGAACAGTCGGCGGTTCTCTGCCCCGCGTCTGAGGAGGAGGCTAGGATGTTGAAAGAATGTCCGAGAAAGGAGAAAGGGGGGAAAAAATAAAGTTCAGCACAATGGAGAACATGCGGTTCTYCAGGGTTTGAGAGATGGCAGACAATGGGTGGGGGGGGGCAGATGTTCTTGCATAACACTTTGCAAGTTCACAGTCGTCTCTAGTTCATCCAGTAACTTATAGTGTGGAGGTATGAGTGCCGCTTGTCTGATTGCATTTGTCACCTTTGTGCTACCGTAACCTTCCCTTTATTTTGGCGTGTTACCACCTAGTCGCCGTGTAACTCCGTCTCCTCGCTGCTCCGAGGATGAAGCCAAACCTGACAGTAAATATTTAATGGACGGTGAATAATTGTTCTTTGCTGAAAGCGTCACTGTAGTTACTGATCCTGCCCGGTGGCTTTAGTTTTTTTCCACGCTGCAGGACAAGTTGTGCGCGGAACAAATCTCAAGAAACTGTCACCTTCAGTTATTCCTGTTTCTTTTTTAAACTGGATCCTCATCAACCTTTCTCTGCTTCCTTTCAGATAAAAGCAGTGGATGCAACTTCGCTCCATTCGTAGGGGAAGAGGTGGGTGAGGCCCTTTCTGAAGACGACCACAGGTGGTTCCACCTCGGCTGAATTTATCTCCAAGCGCACCATGTCCCTCAGCACTTTCCACCTCGTGCAAACACTCAAGAACTCTCCCGCTGCCTTTCGTCGGCGCTTTCGCCGCGACCGCACAGAGTCCCTGTCCCACGGCGACCCCCTCTTCAAAGTCCACTACCTGGGCACAGAGAAAATCTTCTCCCTGGACCGAGAGCAGGCCCAGGACGCCATCAGCCACCTGCTGGACGGCATCTCTAATGGGAAGAAGCTGAGCAAGGATCACGCCCTGGTGGTTCGACCGAGGTACGTCGAGGTCAAGGAGCTGAGCACGGGGCGGCAGCTCACGAAGACGTACCTGCAGGACATTGCGTACTGCGCCGCCGACGCCAACCGGCCCAACGTCTTCCTGTACATCTGCAAGCATCAAGGCCAGCAGCTGCAGTGTCGGGTGTTCTGGTGCAGCCGGGCGGAGCGGGCACGGGACATGACGGCGTGCCTGGCCCACTCCTTCCAGCAGGCGCTCAGCGACTGGCAGCAGGACGGCTCGGCCACGCTGACGACAGGGGAGGTGAAGGGGAAAAGTGTGGAGGAGTCGTCCAACTCTCCCACCATCAACAAGAGCTCCACCCTGCCCGCCAGTCTGGGAAAAGGTGAGATGACAATTGATCTACAGGCTACACCCATATATCTACGTTAGGTTTGAAAACGTCTGTCGTCCACACTCATCCAGAGCTAAAATGGAGACGCTTGGAAAGGCTGCGAATCAGTTTGAAAGCTCCGGAGCTGTGTTTGAGTCTGGACAGGCAGATGTTTGGAAATGATGACGTAGACACTTACGACCACCACTTGCTGATTGAGTCTTTTCGGTCACGATGGAGCTGATTCGCTGACTCGTCACGCTGCTATCACATGACCTTCATCTGGAAGATGATGTTGTGCAGTTAAATTCTGTATTTTATAATAATACAGCTGCTCACATGCATGGGAGACATAAATAATTAATTTCGAGTCAGGGTCAATCAAACTATTGTGTTGCTATTTAATGTGTGAATGCTAACGTTGGCTTTTCAACTGCAACATCACTGACTCTCTCTCTCTTTCTCCTCAGTGCGCTGGAAGAAGCGAGGCTCCGTGTCCCGCAGCCCCCTGAGGGCCATCACCAGGAGAGGGTCCGCCTCAGACAGCTGGAACTGAACCCCGGCTTTAACCCCTCGAACATGATGGGACCACATCGACTTAACGACGACAGCACTGACGGGAGGGAGGGAGTGATTTTTACAAGACAGAACAGAAGGAAGGACGACGGGAGGGGGGGGGGGATGCTGCAGGAAAGTGGAGGAAAGTCCATATTTGGACAGCGTGTGTGGGGACTCTGCTTGTGAGAGGATGTTATGTGTGTGGACTCGAAGGTTTGTGACGCAGCACAGGTGTCTGTTGACGTGCGGCGTCCACTGCAGCACACGATGCCATTGACGGCTTCCTTTGTTCGCCTGTCAGCAGCGATCTGAGGACTTGTGGCTGGCCATGAGACGTTTGAGGACCAGACTGATTCAATTCTGAGACTCTCTTGTCGGCTTGTTTGTTTCCAAGGAGTCCGCTTAATGGCGAAGCCTTCGAAGGTGTTTGATCTGTTTGAAAAAGACGATTGGACCCAGCAGCGGTGCCGGCCGAATGATGCACAGGGAAAACTGGAAAAAGATGACGAGGGACCAGATGTTTCTCAAGCCTGAGTTTTTTTATTTAACTGACATTCGTGACTCATCATGATGATTTTATTTGGATGGACAAAAGCACACTTTTAATCTATTGCAGTTTTGGACGTAGATACAGTAGACGTCAAGATAACTGCTGGCATGTCAGACAAAAGTGGATATCTGTCTCGCACACAAGTCATTTCTGAGCACTTTCCAAGTTTCCAACTGTAAAATTTGACACCTGAACGCATCACAGTTCAAGTCGTTTCATGAAAACACAGGTTTTATAATTTCCTCCTGAAGTGTGCAGGGTATTTTATGAGTGGAGCGACCTGCGTCACAAACAGACCTTGCAGGGTCAACAATTTCCTGCAAAAACACAGCTCGCAGCTGTCCACAAAGACAAATGATTTGCATTTTCACGTGACAAAAACACATGGGGCCAGCTTGTTTGTGTCCGAACACTGGGAACGCTGTGTTCCTGAGTGGAGGAATGCGCGGCCGTGCACCTGCATTCCAGCGCAGGAAATCCGAGATGGTGAATCTTCTTAAACAGCCCTGACTTCTTCTACACATCCGCCCGTGACTCAGCATTCGGAGCAGCCTCACAAGTAGATGCCGAAATGTGCTTCTGTAACTCCCAGGCCCTCGACTTGTTCACATTACCAACGCCATAAAAGGTGCCCTAACAACTTTGAAGTCCATTCTGAGTGACCTCCTCTCACGATGGTGATTTCTGTCTCCGGTTTACAAATGAGAGACGTGAGGATTAGTGGTGCAGCCCGAGGCCACCGCTCACTTATCTTTTTTTATTGTCTGACCAAAACTAAGCTATAGAAAGTTTTTTTGACTGCTGTGCCACTTTGTTTTATCAGTTAATTTTATCATTTTCTACTCTCACTGTATCTTTTACAAACGGCACAAGCCTCGTCTCAGAAACGAGGTTGAAGTGCCTGCTTTAAGATTTATTTTATCGATGTTTTTGTCTTTGTACATATTTAATTAAATATGTATTTTATGGATTATTAAAAGTTTTTATATAACATCTCGTGTGCGTCTCGTTGTGTTGGTCTCAGGCTGCTCTGACTTTCAACAAGACAAATATTTAACTTGTGCAGCTTTGACCCTGACAAACGATCTTCTGTTTCCAAGATTGGACGTTTTAAAATGTTTTCCTTGGCCTGATGAAAACAGAATTCCTGTGAGGGGAGTAAGAGATTGAGATTGAAGGGACTGGAGGTTGGGGGGGGGGGGGTAAAACATTCAGAGAGAGGTCCTGGGATTTTTAATCTTAGTCATGTGACTGATTTCCCAGAGTTTCTCTCTAGTGTTTTGACTTTTCCAAAACATCTGATAACGTGACAACCTTCCAACCAGAGTAAAGATGCAGATACAGCTCCAACTGGGCAGGACAACCTTGTGGAACGTGTTTGCATTAAGAATACAAGTGACAAAACGGGGAAATCATCATTTAAATGGTTACATTTTGCAAATTTCTAACACATTTTCAGTCTGTTTTCCCTCTATAAGTTATCGAAAGAGCAGCGAGAACATCTCATCTTTGTGAACATGTTACATTCACTCCTCTTCACAAGAGACCTCCGCCGTCGGGCTGCTGCTCGACCTGGACGCCTCTCTGTGCCGCTGCAGCTCCAGCAGGGACCGGACGTGGAGACGCCTCAGAGGCTTCACCTCCTCTACGACTGAGGAGGAAAATATAAGAATCATCCAAAACATGAGCTGTTAACTTCACACGTGTCAGAGGTGGGAGAAACGTTGCATGTGTGTGAGTGTTGCAGCGTGGCTAAACAGCACCACCAGCTGGTTCCTAGAGTGCACTGTAAACTGTATCTGTCATACCTTTGTCATAGTGCAGCTCGTCCTGGTTGCCAAACACCACATACGTCTCCAGAAAGTTGAGGAGAGCGCCTGTGACCAGGAAGCGGTCAGGGAGGGGAAGATTTTTGATGTAACGCATGTCCAGGGCGAAGGGGTTTGAAGGAGAGGGGACCGTGCACAGACACACCAGCTCACTGACGATATCCCACACACGAATCCCTGGGCAAGAGGACAGAAAATTAATTTTATTCTAAAACAACATTTGTAGAAATCCAGCAGAATATAAACTCAAGCATCAAGATCTTTATTTTTCCTCCAAACATCCTCATCCACACACATCTGCGTTTGATTTAGCTCGTGGAAAACAGTGTAATTATTGAATCTGTGCAGTGAAACAATAACTTTCTCCTGTTTGGATTCCTCACATTTTTTCCATACCTCGCGTCTGCCAGTCTGCGATGGACTTGAGTTTCATGGGCGTGTCCCTGACCATGGACTCGGTGCCTCCGATGTTGACCAGGCGCTCGTGATTGGAGCGTATCCAGGCGTAGGGGCGTCCGTACTTGACGTAGCCGGCCAGTAAGAAGAGAGTGCAGTTCACCTCCTGTTGAGGGATGGAGAGGGAGTTAATGATGTCAGGAGACGAAGAACAGAGCTGGTTTTTATACAAACGTGTCTGTCTGGATGAAGTCTGGATGAAGCTCTTACAGGTACTGCTATCTCTCTCTCACTGGGAGAGGCAGGCAGCAGGTGGGCCTCACTGCTCGGGCCCCTGAGGAAACAGAATCTACTTTTCATACAAGCAATGTGACACAAAGTGCTTTACAGAATAAAAGCTGCAAAAATGGTGAGAAAAAGATAAATCTCATAAATTTGAAATGAGCAAACGACAAAGGTAGTGGAGAGGATATAAATATATTATAATTATAAGATAAAATAATAAAAGTGAAATGTGAAAGGAAGAAATAAAAGAGGCCTGAATAGGATGAAGATAGAACAACGTGTCTTCATATCTCAAGTTTGCATGTACGGAGCATACTTTTATACATTTACCTCGTCTGGTAAATGTTTTGCTAAAGCTGTGATGTTTACTTCACTGAGCAGGGAGAGTGTCAGTGTGTCCCATAAAAAAACTACAATAACACTCAGTAGGGCCAAGGGCCAACAGTTCCCGTCTGAGACCACGTTTGAATTTTCTCCATCTGGATTTTTATTTGGACGTAAACAAATCAGATTCGAGAACCATGAAATTGGTAAAAATTTCAAAAAATGTCCTGCCTCAAAGTAGAAAAGAAATTCCTGGATCCACTGCTTTGTTTGGATCTGTGCAACAACTTAATGGATCCTTTCTTAGCTCATCTTCCATCACTCCAAGTTCTGTGTAAACTAACTAGCAAACAGAAAGAAGAGAAAACACGAACTCCTATAATATTAAAACTATAAATACACAATATAATACTAAACCAAAAAAGATTGAAACGTGTGAAAACATACACACACACTCATCAGTCACCTGACGTTCTGTGGCTGCGTCTCTGTGTGTGTTTCAGACTGACGGCCTCGTGGAGCTGGAGCTTCTCCAGGAAGGGGGGAGCTGCTGCGGCTGTCCAGGCTCGGGGAGCTGCTGCTGGGGGAGACGTCGCTGCTGTTACAGCTGCTGCTGGAGGAGAAGGAGGAGGCTCGGGACACCACGAAGCCCGGGGAGCGCCAACCCTGCACCAAGGGACGGTGATGTCAGTATTCAAGACTTGTTAAGTAAATAAGTGAGACACAGTGTGGTGTAGACAAGACAGTAAATAATAGAGAAGAGCATATTATGACTTTATGGGGAGTTTTTCATCGTTCTACTACTTCTACTATTATTAAGTATATATAGAACAAACACATTATACAAACCTACAAACAGATCCATCTATATTTTGCATATTTCAACAGGAACTGACCAGATCCTCGTTGACGACTGTGAGCAGCAGCTCCTCCTTCCCTCTGAGCCACGGCTGGAAATATTTAAAACCCTGTGAAGGAAACAACGAGTTAGTTTTTATAATCACTTTTAATCACTCTGTGAGTTTTATCCTCTCTCTACATTCACTTCCTGTCAGGGATGTTGCGACAAGGTCAGCGAAGCAGGACTTGCACGGGGGCCCCCCGAGATGAGAGGAGGCCCCTGAGCGGCCGATCACGTCAGTTCACAGGAACCACTGTGAGAACTCACTTTAATTCTATGATTGGGAGAAAAAAAGCTTGTCTGCTGAAATGATGTGTGTGGGGTGGAGGTGGAGGTTTGCACAGTCTTACCTTTCTTTATCTATTTATTTGATGGTAAAATTATTGTTTTAAGATCAGAATGAAGTGGTTATATGGATATAATGTGTTTCTGAGAGGGGTTGGTTGGGTTCGATGTAGGGCCCCTCCACGTCCCTTTGGCCTGGGGCCCCTCAAAGCCCCTGGACACGCTCCTGCCCCCTGTGTGTTCCCACCTGTAGCGATCCGAGCAGAGCCAGGTCACCCAGGAAGTGCTGCAGCTTCCTCTTCTGCTCCCTCTCTCTCTTCTAGTCACACACACACACAGACAAAGGATGTTAATATCAAAAGCATGAAAATACAAACACACGTGTAAAAATAATAATTAGGTTTAATTCAAACGTCTTTAACAACATAAATATTCAGCAGCATGAATAAACAAATCTTTTCCTCAATATGATAATAGAGAATCTTTCTTAATAAACATCCAACAGGCCTGATCTAAAAAAAAAAAAAATCTTCCATCATGCAGCCCACCATGACAACACCATCCCAGTCTAGTATCCTAGCAACAAACGCCTCCTATAGCAGCATCCTGCACCCTCATCACTGAACAACAAAGAACCCATTCATCGATGACATGATGCAGATTAGAGACACGCGCTGAGATTTAACACCTAATGTTGAGGCTGCTGCACAAACACAGTGAGACTGTGCAGCTGAAGAGAACAGGACTCACACTGCTGCTGCTGCTGCTGCTCATCTTCATCACTGTCACAGTTTCCTCTGCAGAACATGTCGTGATGCTGCTCACAGACACTGGAGCCGCATTGTTCCGCTGTTCTCAACACATCTTATTTCTGGTGGTGATGCTCAGACACTGGAGGAGGAGGAGGAGTCCTGGGTTTGGTTATTGGGGGGGGTGATGCCCCTAGGGGCCGAACATAATATTGCATAATAATGTCATCATCACATAGTATAAAGAAATGAGTTGCATTTTTGATGAGCAGATAAACTGTGACAGGAAAATTATCTCATTTAGGATACTTTGAGTAACTTTAATAACTTGTGAGTCTTTTGTTAGAGTCAGTCAGATATTCTCGTACTGCCTGTAGCTACCACAGCTCCGCTCTATCAACCTTAAAAACTGATAATTAAGAAAAACAGATTCCAACTGAAGACCCTCTGCTGCGTCTTCCCAGCTCTTTCTCCCCCTTTCACACTGAAAAAAAAAGGTCTGCATGGACCTTAGTTAGACATGCATCTTTGACTTGAGCTTTTTTTATCTACAATTTAATGCAACTGACTCGATCAGTTAAACCTGAATTATTTGAGCCGTGTGAGTGAAGTCAAACATGTGACACAGATATTTGAATAAGACAAAAATAATCACTTTATTCATTGAGAGTCAACAGTGACTCAAAGTCAGCATCAACAAATCAGTGCTTCTGAACGAATCATCATCATGTGCAAAAAGAGCTTTAATTTACACTGAAGGAAAGAATCACATGTTTTAAAAAGCTCTGTTGTGTCCAAAGATCTTCACAGAAGAAAGAAAGACAGCTCTGACTAAAAGTTCTTGGAACCAAAGTGAATGAAGAACGTCCGGATCTCTTTGGGTGAGATGGTGACGGTGAAAGTTTCTTCTCCACGTCTCTCACGTCCTTTGTTTCCTAAAGGAAAGAAAAGAGAAGAGGAAAATGCAAGTCTGTTAAAAATGACTCCTATTATGTTTTGTATTTTGTTCTGTTTGCGGCCGTTTCTCACCTGTTTCTAAGTTATCCACAGTTTTCCACGTCCACCTCCGCAGACTGCTGACGTTCCAGGTTCCTGTGAGAGAACGCTCCTCCAGCATGTTGACTTCCCCTACGCTCTGCAGAACTTCCTGCTTGTACAGGAAATCAACATTGAAGAAAAAGATGGAGTGCTGTTTTAGAATTATGAACATTTATCCCACATTACTACAATTATGTTGAATTTCTTTATCTGCACCTTCAAGTTTATGGTGACAGGTTTTGACAGCTCAGGATCTTCTCCCTCCTCAAACAGATGCATGATTCTCAACAGGACGCGATCGTAGTCCGGCTCAGAGTGCAGATCTTCACCTGAACACAAATCCCACAGAAGAATCAGACCTCAGGATACAGCCGGTAAGTATGAATGGACAGGTTTTCACGTGCACAGTATTTTCTCCGTGCTGACCTGAGTGTATGTGTCCGAGGTGAACATCGTGGTCGGAGCTGTAGTTCCACCCGGGGATACTGAGACTGAGCAGGTGGAGGTTTGGAGGCAGAACGACTGAACGCACGGGAAAACGTCCTCTGGGCTCCTTTTCTGGCCACGGCTTCTCTAAGTGGACAAACGATACACACATTAAGGTTGTGTACGAAGAGTGAGAGACGCAGAGACTTGTGTTCGCCCCTGTACGTCTGTTGGATTGTTTTTCTGCATGATTACACAAAAACAACCGAACAGATTTCCATGACACTTGGTTCCGTATTGGTTTGTGTTTTGCGCTGGTGAGGGAGAATTAGGATACACTTAAATCTTCACATGCACCAAGGAGGCCAAGTTCACTTTGTTTGTCTGTTAGATTGCAAAGGGATCAGAACAAACGAGGATCAAGGTATTTTGTTTCGCCTGCCGAGGCAAATTACGTATAATCGCTTGCTGGATGTGGGCAGTGCGGGATGTGACGCACATGGGGATCAGTTGTGTGGTCTGTAGTCTGTTTGAGGTTGTGTTTGTTGTTGTACGAGCTGTTTTCAGGTTGTGAGAAAATGCACAGTGGAGAACAGAGGAGGAAAGTATGAAGTGCTTCTCTGAAGTGAAAGTTCTCCTGAAGGACGAGGTTCTCTAACACATTATTAAAGTTCATGTCTTTCATTACAAATGTAATGTGACACTGTGACACAGACACCAAAAACAAATACATCAAAGATTTTTGAAATTTCATCTTACTACCTCGTAAAGAAACTTACGAGGTCGGTCGATGGGCAGGATGACAGGTCTGTGCTGCAGCTCTACTGCCTCCCTCTGGTAGAGCCTGGAAGTGGCTCTGATGGAGCCCAGCATCATCCACAGGGTGGGCCTCACAACTGAGCTGTCATTCAGGGTCAGGTTGTAGCCGAGGTTCCAGGGCTGGTTGTTCCACAGACGTCTATGGAGCATGACCTGAGGGGTACAAACGCAGGATGTTAACGTGTTCCTGTGTGAGGGGACGGTGACGGAGCGTGTGGCCTCACAGCCTCTTGTACCTCTAGTTGTCCACTGGCTTGGCTGGAAACACCATGAGCCCTGTCGCCGATGAAAACCAGTCTGCTGAGGTCATCCTGGATGAAGGCGGTCCGAACCATGGGGAAGTAGTTCTGCAAAACACATGTCAAAATGCATTTGTTCATATTTTAACTTACATAGAAATCACCTGCAGACTAGACTTACTCTCGCTAAAGTGTTGTTAACGAACTGTCTGTACGGCCTCTTCATCATCTGGTAGCCGTTGTCGTCTGTGTACAGGGTCCTGTTGTTGTCCATGTCAGTGCTGGTCCTGAGGACAACCTCAGTGTTTAGGTCGAGGGACCCCAGCGAATAAGTCTGCTCCAGCCTGTGACACCGCAACGTCGTCCCGAAGCATTCTGGGACACGGGTGGTGATTGAGTATGCGTAGTCCTCGTCGTTTTCCTCTCTGAAAGATGCACCACGTTAAATTAGGGCTGAGAATTGAGAAAAAAAAAGAAAAACTATACTAATAAAACCAGAAAGAAAAAGAGAAAGTTCTTTTTCCACCACCTGTAGAAGTACTGCCTGATCTCAGACACGATCTTTCCGGGGATAATCTCCATATCCACGGCCTGGTAGGCGCGCACGGCTGAACCGTTGCTGCTGAAGATGTAGTTATCGGAGATGGGCCCTGCTTTAATGTCTCCGTTTGCGAGGTACTCCCAGAAATCCTGAGTGATCCTCACTCTCCTTTTCTCGTCACTAGCAGGGGACGACAGGAGAGGTCAAACGAAGAGTTACAACTTAATAAGAAGAAAACATCTAGGAAGCAAAAAAGGTTTGAATTTTTAAATTTGGAATCACAGTGATCTAATTATTTTGTAACACATGCTGAAAAAAATCTCACCGATAAGTGATGCTGTGCAGTAGATTTGTATCCTGGTCAAACATGAGCTTGTAACATTCATTCAGAATCGGCAGAAGCCTCCTCCCCGTTCTCGTCCAGTCCCGGACACGGCGTCTCTCGAAACGGACGCCTTTAGCTGCGTACGTCCAGCCACACTTGGACCTGCCAGCGCACGGCCTGTCAGAGAACTTAATCAGGTATTTTCTATACTGAAGGCCTCCGAGCTCCACCAGCATGAAGAGGTCGAAGGTCACATTGGACTGTGCTGATCTCTGGATCTGCAACAGACACAAGAAATCATCACTGTGTACATATTAAGTGGACTGAGTTATATTGAAAGTTACAGATAAAAGATGAAATTCTTAATTTAACATAATCTTCAATAATAAAAATAAGATCTAAACATTTGTAACCATCAGCTTTTGAAATAAAGATAAGAATACCTGTGCAGGTACAGGCTGCCCCTCATCATCAAAGACGGTTGCGTTCTGGAAGGTCACTGTGACGTTGATGATGGTGGTGATGTTCCACGCTAAAGGGTTGTAGACGATGACGTGTTGCTCCAGAGTCTGATGAACGCCTGACACGAGGAGATCAAATACAAAATGATTCAAAAGGAAACTTAAAATTTTGGGACTAATCTTGATGCTGGTGTTTGCTTTGAGTTTAAAGTATAAACTATTCTGATAACAATTTTATGCTCTCCTTGATTTGTTTTGAAGGAGAAAGTTCATTTTCCAACATTAGCATGAGCTGTAATCCACCTTTTCTGTGGTAGCGGCTGCCGAGGACGCTGGACATGTCAAGGTTGTGCGGCAGCAGAAAAAGAGCAGCGAGAAGTTCCTCCACTCCCATCATGCCCTGCACGAGGTGCTGCACATACATGTCTGCCACCTTGGGAGACTCGGTGCCGGTGATTCCATCATGGTGCTGCACCTAAAAACACAAAACAGTTTGTGGTGTGGGAGTTATAAGTGTTTAAATGGTCCAGTAGTTTGAGAGTTTACCTCAGAGACAGCCCAGCGAAGTGCTCTCAGTTTGTCCAGGGCCCAGTCTTTAGCTACAGGTCCGTCAGGGAAGGTGAGCCGGTACCGGGTGAACAGAGTCTCGGCTGCGTGCAGCTGGGAACTCGCTTGCCTTGCGACTCCTTTCAAAACATTTCTGGAGGCATAAAATCCTGTCCATGCCTGGTACGACTCTGAGACAGAAAGCACTGCGTCTGTTTTCCTCCCTTCAATATGATGCTCGGTATTATTCTTATGTTTCACGACACAGATTCTCACCAGTGGAATACGGTAGAAAATCTTCACTCCCCCGTAGCTCCCACACGAGATCCGATTGGTGGATGGCTTGGAAGTATTCACTCAGACTGGCGTACTGGACCGTGACTCCGAACTCTTGGCTGTTCTGGTTGATGTACTTCATTAAAGGATCCATGTTGTTGAACTGTACAGACGAGTTGTAGAACTGTTTGTCACATCCCTGAAACACAAGCAGAACACAAACATTTACCTGCAAGTACAAGAAATGTGTTTTATACTTCAGTAGGTAAAGTATAGAGTAAAGTAAAGAGGACCTTATAAACAACCACTCAATGATTCTGGGTTTTTATTGTCCTCACCCATGGCCAGAGCACTTGGTTTGTCTTAAACCAAGCTGCCCTCTGCTTGATGTTCTCCACCATGACCTGTGCGTAGGCGTATACCGTCTCCTTGGTGACGGGCAGACTCATGTTGGGATAGACGCCGTCTTTAGGTGGGTCGGGGAACAAGGCAACTCCGTTCCAGTAGAAACCAGAGCTGCAGACAATTTAAAGTTTTTGTATTCAATAATACTGCAATCCAAATTGTAATCCTTTTTTAAGTCAATGTCATGATCTACCTGTTTGAGAAGGGCAGGTGAGATGGCGTACAATAACTGAATTGGTCCATAATGTGAGTGAAGATTTGCTGCTTCTCTTTCAGAGAGGGTGAACCTCTCCATACAAACTGTAGTTTCTGTACAGAAAGATAGATACACAACACACAGTGATTATTTACAACCACATCAAGGTAACGTTCACAAATCATAATCACAATTCTAGTTTAGATATATGATGAATTCGTGCTAACTATTCCCTCCGGTGGTTTTTCAGACTGAGGCACAAACTAACACCTTCTTTTTCTGCATGTCCTCTTTAAGGTCGTAGTCGATGCGTGAGATGAGGTGGGCGTTGAACCCAGCCAGGGCAAACAGGACAGGCGTGGTGGCTGAGGCTCCGAATGGATCCACGTGCCAGGAGAACTCAGGGCGTACTCCGAACGTCTCGTAGAGGAAACCGTGTCCCTCTGAAACAGCAGGAAGCTTCAGGGTTACTACTGTTTACAGTGAGTTCCTGCTGGAATTTCCACATCGGCTTAAAATGTGTGGCACCACCTGTCAATTGCAAAATCTGATCTTCTAGATCGGTCACAGCCTCATCGTGCATCACCTGGCCCCCGATGATGAACTCGAGTCTTCCTTCTTTTACGAGCTGCCGCACCTGGAGAACCAACCGAACCATGACACGTTAATATATTCTGTATAAACAAGTGGTTTTTAAACATAAGGTTCAGGTCCAGACAAAAAAACTTGTAAAACCAGGAAACCCTTGCAGCTGATTTGATTTCACTTCCCCAAACTGTATGAAACATGCATTATAGACATATTCTTTCAAAATAAAGCTCACAGGTGTATTTCAGGTGCACTATTCTGCGTCAGAACAGCGTAAAGACCCATCACACATCCTAACCTGTTTCTTTTGGCTGTTTGAGGCCACGGTGTCCCACCACAGTCGGAAGAACTCTTGCTCCACGGCGATGAACCTGCGGCCTTCATCTTTCGACAGCTCCTCAGTCACACTGCTGTACACATTGGCTGCATAGGCGTGCATGCTCTCCTATGGGACACAAATTCACATTCATGCGAGTAAAATACACACACCCACATGCACATTTGTTTGAATTACAGCAGTTTGCTGAATGGGAAACAGCTCATCTGTGGGCTGTGCCCCAGGTGTTGGAGAGGTTGAACAGCACGTCAGACGGAAGCAAACCTGAATGGTGTAGACCCAGCCCACATCCATGTGACTGTGAGGAATTACAAATGTCTGAATGCCTCCCGGTGCTCCAAGTGAACAACAGCAGCACACATAAAACACACTGAGCGCTAAATGCATCATCTTTAAGCGGATACACCTGAAGGAGGAGAAGCTAACTTCTGCCACTTCCTTGTTATTGTTGTGGTGCAGCAGCTGCACATGACTACGGAAGCCCTGAAATACCAAACTAAGGGTTTTTTTGAAAAAGCGTTTTGACCTTTACACCGGAAGTACTCGTTGGAAACACCGCACACACACACACACACACTTGGAGGTGAACGCGTTTGTCCCGATGTGAATGGAAAATGTCAAAGAATACGAGAATAGCTTTGGTCTTCGGGGGCTTTGTGACGGCGCTGGCCGCCGCGTTCTACCCCATCTTCTTCTACCCGCTGACACACAAACAGGAGTACAGTAAGTTTGTATTTGTGTCTCAGCTACACAATAAAAAAAACTGTGGCGACAACATCCACAGGGACGTCAGACGACACGCTGCTGCTGCTGCAGGTGTGGAGTTTAGCTTTGGGCTAATCGTAGCTTTAGCTGGTGGTTTGAGCCAGCAGGTGTTAGCTTGTGAGGCTATCTGGTGGTGAGCTGACCTCTGTTTACATAAAGCTTCTCCTTTTTGTAGTTGGTCGATTTATAAACTGGGTTAAACACAAGAGAGGAGTCACAAGTCAGTGGTGGGAAGGAGGCATTTAAAACATGTGGCTGTCAATTTGGTGTTTGTGGTACATTTCATGCTAATGCTACTGTTCTGTTCCTAAAGTTGGTTTAGCAGTAATGCAGTGAATTATTATATTGTATGAATGGTCATTCACTTTGTTTCACACAAGGCAGGAGACAATGCAAGGTTTCCAGGTCTGCCTGAGAAAACCAGCCTGATGGCAACAAAACCAGTCTAATGGCAAAGAAACCAACCTAATGGCAACAAAACCAGTCTAATGGCAACCTCTCAGTGTGAATTGACTCCTCTCATGTGCCAGTAGCATTTATTAAACACCCTGTGACATTTATGAAACACATTTATTCTCTGCGCTCAGACAAATCTGGCCAATCATACTTTATCAAGTAGAGAATTAAAAGCCTAAACAAGCCTGGATTAAGTAATCGGCTGGAGTCGTTTGATAAAACTTTCAAGCTCCTCGTAACTAAACATTTATTTTGCTAACTGTGGCCAGTGTGTCGTCCTGCATGCCGAGAGAAGTTTCCTTTCCATTTTCCCCATACAACAAAAAAAAAACACATAAACATGCAGTTAAACCAACTGAGACAAAGATGGAGAGATGCCAGGAAAATACATTAAGCTAAATAGTTAGCTTATGTCTGGCCACTTCTGGCCAGCACGGATGGAAAGCTATAGTCAGGACAAGTTGTGTTCTTCTAGTGTTACTGACACTACAGACAAAAGACAACAACAAATGCTGATGCCAACAAACTTCAATGTGAAAAATGTTGTTGATTTTGACCACCAACACTCAGTACTCTCTGGTGTTCTTTCTCGTGTAGGAGAAGTGCAGAAGGCGAACCGGACCGGAATCAACCAGGCAGATATTCAACCTGTGGGTAAGAGCAGATAGGAGATTTGAAGAAGTGGTATGGTCACAATGGTATATTTATTTATTGATTTATGACGTCTCAGTCTTAATGAAATATTACATAGAGTGAAAGGTCCTAAAGAACATTAAGAAACTCTTTTGTCCACCTTTATTTCAACCTTTGGAATTAGTTGGTATGTATTGGACTTCCTGACTGACTCGTGGTGATGTATATACACAAAATGTACAACATAACTTATGCATATATGGTAATAATAATAAAAATAATGCTGTAATAGCCTAACTTCCCCTATAGGGATCAATAAAGGATTTTCTGTTGACCTACAAATTCAGTTTAATAAATCGAGATTTATTGTTTGCATTGTTGAAAAAATGTGGGGAGAAAAAACAACCACTACTTTTTGTGCATTACCACAGTGTCTCATATTCAATCAGCTGAATTTTTGGCCTTGAAAAAGTCTTAAATATGTTAAAATATTCTAAATGTAACTCGTTAAATCCCTGTCTCTAACATTACACTTTTCTTTTCCCCCTCAGGTGTGAAGGTTTGGTCGGATCCGTTCAAACCTGGGGACAAATGAAGAAGAGTGACGGCCGACCTTCTCTATATCCACACACTGATGCTGCTGCTGAACGGCTTCTGTGATGAGTGCTTGGTGTGCGCGTGAGTGAATGAATGATTTCCAGAATGTTTGGTTTGTTTAATGAGTGATCCTTTATCCTATAAATTAAATTTAAAGTTCTAAAAGCGTAAATACGTTTCCTTAAGATTTATTTTATATAATTTTTTGCTGTACTGAAAGAAAAGATGGATTCAAATGTTCTACCACCAGAATTGAATGTGTCCACAAGGGGGCACCCCATGCCAGCATGTTAACACAGAAAGCATTGACGTGTGTATTGTTTGTGCATCTTAGATATTTTGGAAAAACTCTTGTATTTCCAAAAGCCTTGCTCTGGTATGCAGCCTGCAGGAAATTATAATAAAATACAGTGGTTTGTTTACCCAGCCCATTCACAAGAGTCTCCTCTGACATTTTATTTTGATTTAGTTGATGCGAGAGTAATAAAAGCGCTTCGGCAGATGAGGGACATTGTCCAGTAACGTGCAGGATCATCTTCTAAAATGGAAACAGTAGAGACAGAGTTATTCCAGGACACATCACTCTGAATTATCATTTACCCGTCACAGACACAGGGTTTAGCTCGGCTTTTTAAATGGCATGTGACTCTTGCTGTGTTTTGCCCATAGGCTGAAAGGATGGGGCAGAGCTCCATGGTCGTCTTGTTCAAACTCCTACTCAATGTGATCCAGACTCTCTTTACGAGTCCACGGCTGCCGTAAAAGCAGAGAATTCCAAAACTACCATTTTTTCCCCCTGTACTTTTGTGGTTTGCTGACATTGACCAGCATCCCCTTCCAGAGTTTGGTCCATCAAAGTCCTTTTTGAGGATAGAAAGATTAAGAAAGAGCTAAAGCATGTGTTTATGGTCCTTCAGAGATGGTGCATTTTTAAAGTTGCCCTTAAATCTTTCACAGTCCTCGATGTAAGCCTGTACTTTCGGACTTTAAGGACCGTTCACGAGGCCCTCTGCCAGCAAAACCCACTGCATGGGCCAGCAACGGCCACTCTCCTTCTCAACCCCCCAATCAACAAGCCCCATTGTTTATGAGAGGTTGTTATTGTTGGGCCGTGTTCAGAAACAAGAGAAAACTCAAGGGCCCGACTGCGCTGAGGCATCCAAAGTAAAGAGAGCAAGGGGTGAGGGGGTGGTTGAGGAAAAATGAAAAGCAGAAATTCCTCTCATTCCCCGCTGGTGTTTTCCAGATTCCTCAGGCGACAGCTCCTTGGCTGTGCGAGTGAAGTAAGCAACCAAAGGGGAAATTGAAGCGACCGGCGAGAGGAAGAGAACCACATTCTTGAGGGGACGCGTCACCTTCACACAGAATAGAAAGACACTCAATCTCTGTTACTTTGCCTGGCAAAGTACGTAACAGGTTGTGCAGCGAGGCCCGCAGCTTTTCATTCGCTGCTTGAATCGTTGTGACACTCCATGTCAGACACACACCTTCTCCTCATGTCTGGCTTTTCTGAAGCGGGCCTCAAGTCCGCACCAGGCTTTTTATGGTCCTGTGTTGTCTTCGTCTCTTTCTGCTTTGCCACTTGTCCCATTCAGAATATGTAGATCAACACCCATCGCTATAAAACATTCAGCGGGGTCACCGCACACTAGGAACCAACATGAACTCACCACTGTCGCTTCAGCAGCACTTCAACTATCCTTCTATATACCCATCACACAAATCTCTCTCGGCTATTGAGGGGGTATTTTTTTGGGAGTGGTGGCACGTCTTTGCACAAGCAGTTTGTCAGCCGTGTGTTTCAGAGCTGCGGATAATTGGCCAAGGGTTTTTCTGACTAATTGCCATGGGAACAAGGGTTGACAGACAGGCCAAGGGGTTGGAGGAACAGCAGAGAGCGTGTTCGGGAAGGGGCGGGATGGCGTGTAAAATACGAGCGAATGCCATGTGCCCCGTCAAGTGTGGAGAACAGAAACAGATCATAAGTTAACGAAAACAATAAGTTTGGAGAGCTTCATAAGAGCCTCTCGATGACACACTCAGTATAATTAATACCAAAATACTCGGAGTGTGGAAGAGAAAAACAAAAAAACAAATTAAGGCCAGACCGAAAACAATTAGCCAAAAATAAACAATGAATCAATTCATTTAGAGAATGAGTAGTTGCTGTTTTTTCATATACAACTTTACAGCATTTGGTGAACTCCTGATTCTTGGTAAAACATTGCACTTACGTTACCCACAATGCAACTCGACTGATCCGACGGTTAAATTGCTGTTTTGTTAGTAGCAGTTTGAGAGGCCTTAAGATTCTTCAGTCTAAAAACAACTGGAGCTATGTTGTATAGTTTGTTGACTGAGTCGCGTCAGGTAGATTTTTATCAGCTGACAACAATTCCCATGATCCCACGCTGCTTCAAGACATCAAACAAGGTCTTTTTTAAATTTAGTTTAGATCAAGTGACCCTTGAGGCTGCAGTTACATATTGTACGTTCAAGCAGAGACGATGAGCGGACCACAGAGGTCTGGTAACTAACTCCAAACTCTGATTTTTTTTGTAGTCTTCAGACCCAAGCGATAGCGACTCAAGGGACATCACTTAAGGCCCCTCATCAGACTTTGCACAGCTCCCTCTAGGGTCAGCGAAGCTTCGTACACTTGTTTGCACATATTCTATAGTTAACTCTGCGGCCAATTAACAAACTTTGATGTGTGAAATTGTTGGAGTTCCCCTGAGTGCTGGAGTTCCCCAAACCTAATGCAGCACAGAGTGGAAGCACTTCATGCTTCTATAATTCCATTGAAGGAAAGTGTGCAGGGGTTCAGAATATATAATAATGCAGGAACTGCAAAACCCCCACAAAACAACCATGAGTCTACATCTCACATCTCCAATACACCGCCTAGCCTTGTAAAATAATGTTCCGGAGTGCCGTCCGCATTCTTGGGTCAGCAGGCGCACGGCTGTGGAAACAGATAGTATAAGTCTTAAGCAATGTCTAGGAAAAAAAAGGCAGCGGCCAGGCTTCGCAGCAGGCAGGCGAGGCGA